AGGCATGAACAGACTTGACGAGGCATGAACAGACTTGACTCACCGACAGCGGGTTACAACATCAATACACGACAGGGTACAATGGGAACATGATGGCTACTTATATCAAACAAGAAGGTTAACATGACAAAGACAAACCAATGTGGAACAAGGCACATGACTAAAGCAACCAATGAGAACATGACACATACACAAGGCAGAGATACATGAAGACAAGGGAAGCATAACACTGACAGCATGAAACAATTACAAAATAAAAGACATGGAAAACATGAACCTGAAACAAAACTCAAACACCAAACCCCACATTACAAACGGTTGATTCATTTAGGAACGAATCACCGTCATGTTGCTCAGAGACGCAAAACAGTGCTGTGGATGTGTTTGGAATTTTTTTGTTGGCAAAATAAAGCAAAAACAGGCAATATAGTGTCTAAAACGTAAGTCTCATAATATTACCTTCTTGTTTATTGAACTGTTGAATAAAATCACATTTGTAATCATGCTGATTTTAGAGGTGAAAACTGGCACTCTTCGTGTGATATTGACTAACTTTCTGTGGTATATTTATGCACAATGGCGTTTAGTCTTAAACGCAGCTCCTGTCTCTCGCTCGATTTACAGGATACTGTATATAATTTGAGTTATATAAATATCGATATGCGGGAGACGCCGGGAGAGGAGGGATGTCTGATATGAAATAAACACAAAACACAAAATATGGGAATCTATTCCATTCATTCATTGTTAGCATGTAGATTCAGAAAACTTGGCTTAAACCCCTGGAGTTGAATTAATCCATTTCTCACATCCTTTGTTCTTTTTGAAAATTGCATGCACAAAAACAGATGAAACATTCCTCAAATATCTTCTTGTGTGTTCTGCTACAGAAAGAAACGCAAACGACATGAGGGAGAGTGAATGATGACAGAAATGTTGTTTTTGGGTGAATTATCACTTGCAGGCAGGTGAGTGTGTGACATCAAAGTACGCGAGAGCGATTCAAAAGCATCAGGAGCGTCTGCTCTCTAGAGCTCTCACGGTATTTGATGTCAGAACTCACCTCAAGAGGAGCAGATGGCAAGATCACATGAGGGAAGCATGAACATACACAAAACCCCACCGTTACAGTAACACGAGTTAAGAGAGTCCCTGATCTGCTAATCCTGACACTTCACCTTTGAGCAAACAACAATAGTATTCCTCTCAAAAATATGTCGAAAAATTATGTTAAAATTAATTGTTTTCTTTTGATGCTTAGAAATAAATGTTTTACATCGGATTAGAGATGATCATTTCGGTTCATTTTCCCGACCGACAACCGCCGCTCGTTATCCAAACATTAACATTAACTGATAAGATTTGAATATTAAATTAGTATTAAATAAATAATAGAATGGACGAGTGTCTGTGCCCATTAAAAATACACCTGCAGCGCTTCTGAGAACAAAGAAAAACAGAATAAAACAATATAAATAAAAAGAATCAAATAAATAGGCCTACACTAAATATTTTTCACTTAAATAATGAACTAATTAAGATGACACATTGGTTGGTTGCATGTAAAAACACGCCCCTGTGAGTTAAAAAATATGTATAGAATATTTTTCTTTAACAATGCAGCAAACTTTTAAAAAATACTTGGAAAAAAATACTTTTAAACCGTTTAACTGATAGTATTAATCGGTCAAATTTCTAACTTTCGGTTAACGGTTAAACGGTCAATATGAGCATCCCTACATCGGATAATTAAATGAGTCAAACTCAGAGTACAATGAGATGAGGATCTGAATGCTTCTGCAAATCCTGTTTCACATTGAAGTAATGGAATACTTCACTTTTGGTGACAAAAATGTATTATTAATGGTGCTACATTTGTAAATGTCAGATGATGTTCAGTGCTGTGTGTTTTTGGGCGACACTGATGTGGCTTGACCTCTGACATCAGCTCAATGAATGTATTTGACATTATGATGCCTTCACAAACACACCATTAGCATCGGTTTACATTCATTATGTATTAGTTTCTCTGTTCTCTCTTGAAAATGAAAGCACACAATAACATTTTGATGTCAGACGCAGGGAACCATAAAACTACATCTAAAAACAGCACAGCGCTCTGAGAAATGTCACTGCAATTCAGTGTCTGTGTGTGGGATATGAAATAACGATGTGTTTCATTACTGCATTATAGCTCTGTCTCTCTCTCTCTCTCTCTCTCTCTATATATATATATAGCTCACTAATCACGGGTTAGGCCTGCGTTTTTCAGGTTTGTGCTCAAATATGTGTGACATGAAAGACAACAGCACAACAACATTCGTGCCTTTAATTCTGTGTGTTTTGTGCCGCCACATGCTCTGATGTATGTAATAATCAACACACTCAAAAACTTTGGTTTGTTGTCAGGTAAATCCCACAGGAATGCATTGTGTCTTGTTCATGCGGAAGCTTTGCATTTTACTGTGAAAACACTTGTACTGTCTGTAGATTGTAGAGGTTTCCAGATGTTGTGTTCAGTGGCCGGTCGCATAAAATGCTAAGACTATAGTCTCACAAGCAAGTCATCAAAATTTTTTTTAAGACTGGACATAACTTCTTTTTTAAAGCCAGTTACATAACAAAAAGCGTAGATTGGTCTAATTTGAATCTGAAAAGTAAGAGATACTCAGTTGCTCAGAGTAGATCTTAAGACACAGTGAAGTTTATGCAATCGGCCCCTGATGTCCGGATGATTTTATAATCCTGACATGTACAGACCTTTACAGACACACGTTAGGAGTATTTTGCACAGTGACATTGCTAACGTTTGCTTACGTGGATATGTGTATGGTTTTTGAGCGGTTCATGTGCACACATGTCTTCTGTATTGATTATGGTGTTTGATGAAGTGTGAAGGAACGCAGTGAGAGGAACCTGAGATCTGCTGCTCATGTTGAGAGATGAATGATGGTTCGGTGAATCTGTTTGTCCTCTGACCGTCCTAAATGTGCCCTCGGCGAGGTCAAAGCGAGCAGTGGTACACTAAATATAGAGGCACACGATTTCTCTGTCTTTATACACGTGTGCAGACAATCACAGCCAAGGTCTGAGGAGTTCATTTTCGTCAGTTCATTGTTTTGTTTTTTTGTATTATTGCTCTCAACTGAAATTCAGCAAATCACCACATCACATCGTTTAACCCTTTCACCTGTTCTGCAGACAGAGAGCGAGAGCTGTAATGTCGAAGAGTTTGCAGGTACATGAGGACTTTGACGGCGATTATCATTGACTGAAAACATTATGTACAAGATCTAAATATGACTGTCCTTTAAAACAGGATTGGTTTGCTCTTCTAAACTGATTCAGGAGCTTTCGTTTGGTCACTCTGATGTCAAATTCCACTGTTAGCCAGAACTGTCTCTATTATATCGCCTCGCTTGTGTTTTATTACATTCGATGCTCTCTGACCGCTCGTTTCAGCCTCTAAACCAGGAGGAACATGTTTGCCGAAAGATGGGAAGGCATTAGCTCATCAGTGAGCAGAAATGTTCCTGTACAGTGTTTCCAGTCCTTCATGAAGGTGAAGGTTTGAGAAGTTGATGAATGACTAGAGTTGGAGCAGAAAGCCTTTTGTCCATGTGCTGAAGCTCCGGGAATCATGACAGAACATCTCGACAGAAATCATGACTCCAAATTAACTAGCTCACATGAGACGTGCTTCTGTTACCCAGATCATTTAGACTCGTCCCTCATTGAGTACAAATGAACTCAGATGAAAAAATTCAGTACAAATGAAACATTTAGTATTACTCACTCATGTCATTACTAGATGTTAAACCTCGACATTCTTGCTGTGATTTCTGTGGCAGCTGAAGAACTGAGGTGTTTGTGTGTGTTTGTGTTTCCTGAAGGATCTGGCGGGAATGAGTCCTCCTCAGAGGAACTGGAAGGGGATCGCCATCGCTCTGCTGGTCATTCTGGTGGTCTGTTCTCTCATCACTATGTCTGTGATCCTCCTCACTCCAGGTACTACAGCAAACCCATAATGATGAGGTACAAGTTCATCCTCATTCATTGTGATTTTCTCACAGTGCTCGTGTTCACAACTCTCCAGGTCCTACCTGAGATTTTTGCATTGCGAAAGTCTCGAGCATTAGGCCAGCAGCAATGTGAGCGGCGTTACTCAATCTGCCGTTTGTTACGTGACGTGTGACGCCTGCAGCATCTCCGTTACTGACCTGGTGCTCTTGCCTGTCTGTTTGTGTGATAGTCGATACGCAACCTGGCAGCGACACCAAGCTGACGGTGGAGGATCTTTTCAACACAGATTTCTACGTGCACGACCCTGAAGCTCATTGGATCAACGGTAAGACGATACGACCACAGAGCCACACGCATCGTTAATTTGAATGGATCTCATTCATTAATCATCTGTACACCATCATGAGCTCTTAAGCACAGCTGATCGCAGAGGATGATTGATCATGACCGCAGACACTGAGCAATAAACATTATAAATCACTCACTTGGACGAGAAGAAACCATCTGTCCGACATGTACATTTTTCATCAAAAGTAGTTTTTTAAATGCTCTTCAGATTTATCTGAAACGTTTGAGACCACAAACATAGACTAACAATTTTAAGCGATTGTGCAGCCGCAGCAGCGCTCTGCATCAGAGAACGCAGAAGAAATCAGTGGAAATGTGTAGGGGTGTAACGGTACACGTATTCGTACTGAAAATTTTCGGGTGGAACTTCATTGGAAACTTCCAGTTTTATATATTGTTTGATAAGAAACAAAGTCTCATCTTTCAAATTATGTCCTTTTTTTTCAGGAAACAATGAATGCCGTTTTGGCGCTCTTTGATGAGGCAAGAGAGATCGCTGAATAAACTCCTCAGTTCAAACGGCAGCGCAATCATCTCTTCCTCTTTACTAGTTTTAACACAAAATAAACATGAATGAACATCTCATGCCTCATGTAATCGCTCAATCAGTGTTTCAACCGCGGAAAGACGGCAATAAAACAGCTTGTAAACAAAATGTCACGTAGCATTTTACCTCCTCAGGAAGTCATCAGTCTCCACAGCTCGTTAGTGCGCGATAAATGAAGTCCAGAGAAGAGCATTTCGCTGTGTAAATGAATATATTTCAACAACAAATATAATTTTTATAATTTAGAAGTTAATTTAAAAACTGCATTATGTGCAATTTACATGTTAGCATACAATTTTTTTTAAGTTGAGTGTTGCTTGTTATATTTAAAAATAAATAGTATTTAAAGTTTGGGCTCTGTTGTTAACTGTAACCTCATAGTAGGCCTAATGTAAATCATAGGATCATAGTTTAGAGCATAAGCCGAGGTAGATTTTTATCCCTAAAAAAATTGTAATTATAACTGAGTTTATTTAAAAAAAGAGCAATTTGTTCAGTAAACCACTGTTTAATAAAAAAAAAAAGTTTTTCCCCCTGCTGTACCAAAACTGTACCTAACCGTCATGTTTGTGTACCGTTACACCCCTAGAAATGTGTGTAGACTTTTTAATGAGAAATTCTGTCCATCCAAAGTGGGAAATGCACTTTGCATTTTACAGACAGATTTGAAGCCACTAACCTGGAGAGTGGCATATATACATATACATAAATAAATGAATTGATTAAAGACGAATGTGCCAGATTCCAGCCTTGCTGAAGCTCCCCCAGATCATCACCAGTCCTCCAAATTTCACACTGAGTGCGAGACACTGTGGCTTGTAGGCCTCTCCAGGTCTCCGTCTACACTTTTTACACTTTGAAGCTTCCTGCAAGACACTGTGCAGGAGCACAACGATTTGACATTTTTCCATATTTTTGTCTCTATGAGGCTGTAAGTGGAGAGTGTGTCAGTTTAACACAATGTGAACTTCCTGTTAGTGCTCATTCCTGATTGAAGGCTATGTCAAATACTATTTCCTGCATCATAAGAACAAATGAGACAGAAATTTTAGAAATTGGTAGAAATAGTTGGGCCAGCATGTAGGAAGTGAATGTGTTTGAATAATTCATGGAGTGTGTGAAAGCATCTGATGATGTGACTTTGAGAACTTGACCTTTCAGATTAGTGAATACTGTCTAGTTACGCTGAAACATTTTTGCCATACCGGGCATCACAGGCCTTGGCATTGTGTGTGTGTGTGTGTGTGTGTGTGCACGGATGTGTCGGAGTGGTGGATGTGGTAGTTGCTATGGTAACAGGATGGGGGAAGGGGCTCTCAGGTCTTACCCTGGCGGCAGCAGCATGAATATTTCATTGTGAGTGTGTGATGCAGTGAATCCTTCAACTCCTGCTTCTCTTCCAGACAGATCTGTGTTTATCAGAGTCCTGCAGTCACTCCAGACTTCAGCTTAAGACTGTTCTTCAGTGAGTCTTAGCCCGTGGATGCATGGGCGGCGCTAGGGAGGTGCTAGCAGGTGCTTCAGCACCCCCAAGAAAGACCAAAGCACCCCCAAAAAATGAAATAAAATAAAAGCATTTGACTCATAAAGCATGCATAACTCAGTCGCACTTGTCATAATGTCATAGCATTTAATTTAAAAAATGGATCGGTTCCTTGTGCCAAGTAGGCCTGCCCCCGACTAAAGATTTTTCTAGTCAACTAGTCGCACGTTTATATTTAATTGATTAATATAATAACCTACTAAACCATCCTTTAGGCATATAGGCGTGTAGTCTATATTTTGTGCTTAAGTGCGTGAATAAAGCTTGCCACAAAGCACGGGCAAAATTAATGATTATGAATGTGCCCGGGGAAAAGAAGACATTTTAATTATTTATTAATAAACTAGTGCTTTCAGTGAGTGTTGGCTGCAAAGATGAAGTTACCGAATGCCGACGCAGACTCGTCATCTTCACAGTAATGGAAATGCACATTTTTATACGGACTACATAATTAGAGATTTTTTTTTTATTGGTTCGTTCAGTAGTAGACATTTCAAGATATTTTTTTTTTCAAGTAAGTTGTTTATTGTTGTGACGCGCTCCATTTCACGGAGACTGGCAGAAAGCGCATCCTGTTTATTTTTCTCTATTTTACAAAAGCTCAACATTTTGTTGTTATTGCGAGTGTACATAAATAAAAGCAGAAATAGTTTTTTTTATGAATGATGTGTAGCCTATTAGGCTACTCTTATGACCAAAAATGACGGAGTAACCTATTCTAAGTTCTTTCCGCAGGAAAAAATGCAAGGGATTGCGCGGGCGCCTCCATGTCATGCAGTAAGCACAATAATACTCCCACACTTCTCATAAACACTTGCTATGCACATCTATAGCGCATATTAATCTAAATTAACTTCAGAGTGAACCGCCATATAGCAGCCCTACTCCTTTCCATGAGAGATCATGTGAGAGATCTTTGTCCTGTCTCCTACACTATATATCTGAGAAGCAGCTGTGGCGATGCCTGAAACAGCAGCTTGGTACATTTGGCCATCAATACACAGAGAGAGAAGTTTTGAGACTGTAAATACCAAGTAAATATATCCCCAGTGCTTTTTGATGTCATATTGCCTTTGACTCACATTCCGAAATGCTTGTTCAGTGAATTTTAGGTGGACTGTATAAAAATCTTTGGGAACTGACTGATCTAAAGGCTACTTGTTTAATTTCATAAAACGAAAAAATTTTATCAAATTGTGATGAGCCAAATAATCAGGTAATAAAATGTTACAAAATCGAGTGGGCAATTTAGGCTATTTTATTATTATTATTAATAATAATAACAACATCTTTTGATCATATTTACTATTAATTGCCCAGTTCCCCCTGCCAATGACCTAGCACCCCCTCAGCACCCTCAGCACCCCCCGCGTGGATGTGATGCAGCTCAGTCTGACGTTACTCTGAGAGCATGCAGATCGTCCTCTCGTGAGCGTTCAGCACGTGACCCTCGGAACGCATCACATCTGCAGAGCACGAGAGAATAAATATTTAATAGCAGCGGTTCTCCTGTCCCACGTTGAATCAAACTATGGAGTCATAAATGCTTCAGTGTTGTGCTGCTGTTGAATAGAGACTGTTGTCTGACTGCTGACAATGAGATGCAGCTGTTCTTCTGGACAAACTGTTTCTTCTTCTAGAACCTCTCAGCTTAATTCAGCTCTCACTCAGGTATCTTTGTGCCGTTTAACAGCAGCTCGCACATCAGATCTGTTTATCAGTGGTTGTGTAAAAGAAGTGTGAGTGAAGTCTGCTGTTGTTTGAATTTATTTCTTCACGTAAAATTAATCTTCAAATGCACAATACCATCGCTGGAAAAGTAGCCTTTTTAGACAAATGTAAAAACATTAATCAGCATTATTCTGAGCAGCCCTTCATCCAGCCTTATGATGGACTACAAATTACTCAACAGTCCAGAAACAACAGCAAAGATTTCCTGACTTTAGCACGTTTTCATTCCTCGAGCTTTCAGCATTAAATCAGGTGTGTCAGTTCACCAGATGCTTTCTGCTTTCAGCACTCAGAGTTTTGTTCCGGTTTAGAGCTGGAAACAGAGCTTTATTAATGTTTCACCGTCTGCTTTTCCTCACTGTAGTCAATAGCAGCTCCACGAGACTCTCAGACTGGAAATTTACCTTTACAGCCGTCATGCAGCTCATAAATATGAATAACTCAAGGTGAAACAGACGAGCAGTTCTGCTTTACATTCTGCCTGTTTATCCATCTGAAGATAGATCAGACACAAGCGAGAGCACAGGTCAAATGCAGAAAAGAAAGAGAACTCGTTTTGAAATTAATAGGACTTAGCAAATACATGACAAGTCATTTGACAAGCAGCAGCTGGTCTGTTAGCTGTGTTTACACTGTAAAATCTAATAACACATAGATGGACGAATCAGATGTGTGTTCACATTAATTTACGCATAGCTGACTGTGTTTACATTAATGACCCTCCAAGAGGAGCATTTTAACTTTCAAAACCTTACAAACTAATCACATGACTTGCTATTAAATATTGACTGTCTGCTTTTTTCTCTTTGCCAGAATCTGAGGTGATCTATAGAAATCACCATGGACATGTGATCAGGTTTAACATCCTCACAAACGAGACAGAGATTGTGCTGAAGAACACCACATTCGTGAGTAAAAACTTACCACACAAACACTGAACATGCAGTTGAGCTCATATGTTTACATACGCCTTACATAATTTACACAATTCACAATGTTAATCATTAAAAAAATAAGAGGCATCATCAAAAATGTTGTCATTTTCTTTATTTAGTACCGTCACGAATAATCTATTTCAGCTAACCGATGTTTACATATAATCCACAAGACTAAATAATAGCTGAATTTGCACAAATGACCCCGTTTACATAATAACTCATAACAGAACTACATGCTTAATATAGCAGTCCTCTTATACTTTATGCTGCTCTATTGTTCAATAAGAGTGTCTTTCGTGTCATTTTTTGCAGTTTTAAACTGTTTAGTTTTAGTAGATGGCCATTTGGAATGTTTTAAGTTCTGAAAGTTACAGAATGCTTTTATAGTACAGATTATAGTATTTATTATAGTATAGATTATAACTTTTATCTCTAAAGATCAAGAAAGTTACATTTTTTCATGATATGACACCTTAAAAAGGGGTCATATGATGCAATTTCTGCTTGTTTGTCATGTCTCCGATCACAAATGCAGACATGGTTTTATGTTTACGCGGCGCGATGCAACGCAACACGTAAAAAGACAGTATAAGTCATTATAATCCGTAATTATGTCCCCACTGGATGCAACAAATGCCTCGTTTGTAATGGGTTTTAATGTTTTTGTCTCGTCGCTCCGGCCGGACAGGGCATCACAGTATGGTGAGGGGCGTAACATTTCCGTCACACGCTTGAGGTATTCGGCCAATCACAATGCACTGGATAGCTGGCCAATCAGAGCACACCTCGCTTTTCAGACCGATGAGCTTTGTAAAAATCGACGCGTTTCAGAAAGGCGGGGCATAGAGGAGAAACAATAATGTACAGTCTGTGGAAAAGAATGTGTTTTTTTTAACCTTAAACCGAAATACATTACACCAAATACACAAAATAATGTTCTTTTTAGCAACATCATATGACCCCTTTAAGGTTTTCATAACGAGACGTTCCCAGCAGAAACGTTGAGGCACAGTCTGTAGTTTTTGGGATATGAATCTTTATGATCCTATGCAGTAATGAGGATAACATCTTTCATGTTTTTTTCCAGGATACTTTCAAAGCCACCAGATACTCCATAAGCCCAGACATGAAGTATGTGCTTTTTGCCTACAATGTCAAACAGGTATGTGCTGCTTTCTACAATAAAACTTATTTTTAATATTTCACTAGCAAGGACCATGCCACACTGCGAAAATAGGGAAGTAATCTTTATTGTATAAATATAGGGATGAATAGGGAAGGGAAGGATGGGAAAAGGGGTAGAGATGATAACAGGTTGATTCGGGCATCCGATGTTGGTGGCCCAGAGAGACTCAGGATGGGGGTGTTGTCTCGGTTATGTGTGGCCGAGCGATTAGGACCCCCCTGAATCAACCTAGAAGGGAAGAGAGGGATGTTGAGGATGGTTAATGGATGAGAAAAGGAGGAAAACGAGACGAACCATGCTGAAGGGTCGGCCTGATATAAGTACGTTTTGAGAAGTGAGGTGATTGGATGAGGTGGCTGAGTGGGGCGTGACCCAGCTCCCGAACCTCTGTTAACTAGTTAACTCCCTTTAAAGGTACAGTTTGTAAAAATCAGAAAACCCGTGTTATTAGTGACTCTGCTGGTGATTACCTGTTGCTCGTGCTCATTCACACTCACTATAGGCACGCGAGCGAACATCAGCCGAAACACACAAGAGACTGAACGTCATTCACCAGCATCATGTTAACAGATCATAATCTAATTAACAGCCTAATCTAACCCAACCTAACTGTTATGATTGTTTGACAAAGTGTCACAGCCTTTGGATTTTCCCAGAAAAACTGACCCGCTCCCTTTACATAAAAAACAATCTACAGACTTTCATAGGCAGCCTAGAAAAGTCTTACATTTAATACCTTTAAAGAAATGTTTTGTCCCTGAAAGACAAGAAAATCACAATGAATCATTGAGCTGAGCGCAATAGTGGCATTAGACATTTTGTTTGTACTCATATATTTATAAGTGATTGTAAGAAAACGTTCAATAAGAACTCTCATTCTATTAATTATTGTGCTTAAGATCAGATTACACTTGATGTTCTCTCTCTCTTTTTTAAGATAATAAGATTTGGTTTTCATTAGCTAACTGTAAATTAAATTAAAGATTGTTGTGTTTAATATCAGTTGTTGTTTTCTGACCGTAGGTTTACCGGCACTCGTTCACGGCCTCCTACATCATATACAGCATTCACACCAGGTGGAGTAAGAGCTGTTATTGATCTCACTGTATACAGACATACAGAGAATACAGACACAATATAATTCAGTCTTTAAACATGACTTTACTGTAGAAAGTGTTCTAGACAAAACTATGTGAAATGAGCTGAAGGGTTTAAATATCGTGAAGCCAAGTACTTCATTACAGTATGTAAGTAAATAAGTGCCGATGGAAGAGAAGGAGCGGCGGAAATGAGAAACGCTTTGAACGTGCTGCCATGATGTTGAATGTTCTGATCATCAGTGTTTGACAGGAGTGCTGGGATCCATTCAGCTCACATTCACCCATAAAACAAGACAGTAGATGAGCAGCATCAGCTAGCAATCACCTACTGCAGCAGAAACGCTACAGCTGTTATAATATATCTGTGTGTGTCTATCCACATTTACTCTTTATCTTCAGACACACCTTAAATAGTGGCGCTGTTGATTCCAGAGAGACAGACTATAACACTAAATTGTTAACAGTTACGTTTTTGCATTGTGTTTGTGTTCGGTCCAGTTTTGTGATGGTTAGGAGGTTTATAGCAGATTGTGAGTCGTCATCTCTTAATTTCTTTGAAAGCACAGACATGTGTCCGAGTCACTGAGCTGCTCATATATGTGCTAGACAACACTACAAATACAATATATTCAAATATGGAGGATCATCTTTATATATTGTCATATCAGCAAGCCCTAAAACCCACTCTGTAGTACAGCACTAATACATTATAGACATGACAGTACGACTCTCTGTAAAACTGCTTTGAAATTAATTTGACTTGACTTGAGGACACACTCCGGATTCAAACTCGGGTCACGTGTCTAAACAGCGTGTCAGAGCGCATGCAATAATACTGAATAAAACACAGCCAAGTTTAAGTCTAGTTGTAGTATTTAAAGTTGGACTTCCTGTAATTTTCTATAAGTGTGAATTGATGGTGTGATTTAATAAGAGCATGATTGAGATTTTAAATATCTTCTGTGTGTGTGTGTGTGTGTGTGTGTGGGTGTACATATTTGAGAATAATATTTACTATCAGTCGGATGTCAGGAGTAACTCGCTGCGACTGACCTCATCTGGGAAAGAGGGCGTCATCTATAATGGCATCGCTGATTGGCTCTATGAAGGTGAGACTTGCTTTATTATATCTCTGTATAAGATTTAAGAAATATATGATGATGGTGCATTTTTTCTCTTTTGAGACACAGATTAGCACAGTAAGTGTTGTCCATTTTTCTCTTGTGTAAGTTGATTGTACGTTAGCTCACAGTTTCTCCAGATGAAGATGTGTGGTGAAGCTCAGGTTTTTGTGTTTGACTCTGAGATCTTATACAGCACAGATAAAAAGTCCAGTTTTCCATTCAGTTTTTAAAACTCTTGTTTTGTTGGAAACACGCATGCACAGAGGAGGTCCTTCACACGCATGTGGCGCACTGGTGGTCACCTGACGGCGAACGCTTGGCATTTCTGGTCCTGAATGACAGTCTGGTGCCAAACATGGCGTTGCCCACTTTCACTGGCTCTACATACCCTAAAGGCAAACAGTACCCGTATCCGAAGGTAAGTGTCTGCGCTTGACCTTCACATCCTCATGCTCAGATGTACACAACATGGACAAAAGTGCTGGGACACACCTCCTAATAATCAAATTCAGCAGTTTCAATCAGACCCATTGCCACAGGTATATAAAGACAAGCACTAGCCATGCAGTCTGCATTTTCAAACATTTGTGGAAAAAATGGGTCGTTCTGAAGAGCTCAGTGATTCAAGCATGCATGCCACCTATCACAGTAACAGTGTCAGTTCATGAAATTTCATCCCTCCCAGATATTCTACGCTCAACTATAAGTGGTATTATTGGAAAGTGGAAGCATTTAGGAGCAGCAGAAACTCATGAAGCGGAAGACCATGTACAGTCACAGAGTGGCTCACCAAGTGCTGAGGTGCATGGTGAATAAAAGTCACCAACGCTCTGCTGATTCCAGAGCTGAAAAGCTCCAAACGTTCACTGGCATTAGCATCAGCACAAAAACTGTGCGGCGGGAGCTTCATGAATGGGTTTCAATGGCCGAGCGATATCTTAGAGAGCAACATTTTTACTTTAAATTTTAATTCATATTTTAAAAATTTGAAATTATTTGAAAATTATTCAAAAAAATCTCTCAAATAAACATACTTTAGATGACAACTTCTTGATTCTGTAATCCTATTACAGTATTTTTCACAAATAAAGAAATATAAAAAAATATATATAAATACAAACGAAGTAAACATTGTAACCAACAGGGTAATCTGGGAAGTTTGTGAGCATTGGGAATTATATTTTTTTCAAATAAAGCCAAGGTAACACTCATTGTACACACAGCACACAGTGAAAATGACGTGAATATGACAGTGGGCAAATGGATAAAGCGCAGCATAGTTTGAAATGACGAGTTTAAAGTTAGTCGATTGCGCGTCTCCAGTGAAGCTGAACTCTCCTCCTGTCTGACCGACCATCACATAGAATACACGCGATCATGCAGGACACAAATGCACACTTCACAAGATCTCACAGCTGGATTCCACTAAGTCTGCGAGGTTTGTGAAATTAAATGTAGGGCTGGGCAAGTTAATGCGTTATTATCGCGTTAACGCATTAATTGATTAACGCCGACAATTATTTTATCGTGCGTTAACGCAGTTTTTATTATTATGAAAGTCCGTTGCTCACTGGCTCTGAATACACATACAGACAAACCATATGGGTCACAGGAGGGGTGGGATGTTGATCAGTACTGGCTTGGGATGGGCGTCTCAACCAATGAGAGCATTTGGGGTGGACCTAAGACATGAAGGTTCACATGACGCGCTCACGACTTTATAATCATAAGTGGGAAATAGGAAGTTTCCGATAGCATGTGAAGACAGCAGAGAAGCACTCTCGCTCAGCACAGTGGAGTGCATCGTTTTGTTAACTTTGTGGTTTATTATTTTGAGTCGTTTGGGATGCGGTAACACACGGCCCTCTCACAATATATTGCTTTACAGATCTATCACTCTTGCCACTCAGAAATGTTCACACAATCATGCTGCATGTATCAGAAGTTCGGTTAAGCGCTCACACTCACTGATCTATATATAACTGAACCACGCTCTGGCCCACCTCTTCCTACCGAGCCAGGGACGGCTAAACGAACCGCGCCTGAGTGCAGCACGGAGCGATCACACTAGTCAAATGAACCGGGCTTTGGGGGTCAGACGCGCTCAGGCACGGTTAAGATTGTCTAGTGTGAGCACACCCTTATTCTCCCGCATCCCACACACACGAGTCTCTACCCGCCCGCACCCGCACTCCCATCAGTGTTGTCCTGCGCTGCACTCTGCTGTGTTGGGTCCCGCGGGAGTCCAGGTCTCTACACGGAAGGTGCCTGTTATGATCGAGGCTCTGGACTCTGAGCATAGCTTGTTTTTCTATAACAAACTATAAAATATTTTCTATAAAAACGTTAATGCCCTGGTAATTTGATTAAATTAATGTTATACGTTGAGATTTTCAAGAAATATTTTAACTGCTACTATGTAAATGAATACTGCTGTAAAAAAGCACCTTATTTGTTTAAAGTGTTTGCAAACCAAATGTTATTGCACTTTTGTTCATATA